GTTTTTCAGTGATTTTTAGTAAATTTACACAGTTGTACAACCATCACCACAATCTAACTTGAGAACATTTCTACCACCCCAGAAAGAAATCGTGTGTCCTTGTAGCCATTCCTATCTCCATCCTTCATCCAGGCCACTGTGAATCTGCCTCTGTCTCCATGAATTTGTCCATTTTGGACATTGCACATATATGGAATCATGCAATATGTGGTCTTCAGTGACTTTCTTCTTACACTTAGCATGATGCTTTTAAGGTTCTTTTGCCTTATAGCAGCTGTCACCACTTCATTCATTTTTGGTGGTTGAATCCTATTCCGTTGTATGGCTATATCACGTATTTCTTATCTATTTATTGGCTAATGGACATTTGGGTTGTTTCTGGTTTTTGGCCTTTATGAATAGCGCTGCTATGAACATTTGTGGACAGGTTTTTGTGTGAACATGTTTCCATTTCTCTTGGGGATCTATATAGTGGAGTTGCTGGGTTGCATTGTTATTGTAAGTTTAACCTTTTGAGGAACTAGTTTCTGAAGCAGTTGCACCATTTTAACTTCTCATCAGCAATGTATGTGGGTTACAGTTTCTCTATATCCTCACCAACACTTGTTATTATTTGTCTTTTTGGTTATAGCCATGCAAGTAAGTGTGAACTGATATTTCTTCATGATTTTCTTTTTTTTAAATTTTTTTTTTAGACAGGGGCTTGCCCTGTTGCCCAGGATAGAATGCAGTGGTGCAATCACAGCTTACTGCAGCCTCAACCTCGCAGGCTCAAGTGATTCTCTCACCTCAGCTTCCCAAGTAGCTGGAACCACAGGTGCATACCACCACACTCAGCTAATTTGTGTGTTTTTTTTTGTGAAGGTGGGGTCTTGCTGTGTTGCCTAGGCTGGTCTAGAATTCCTGGGCTCAAGCAATCCTCTGACCTCAACCTCCCAAAATGCTGGGATTACAGGCATGAGCCACCATGCCCCACCCTCATTGTGACGATTTGTATTTCTCTAGTGGCAAATGATGTAGAAGATCTTTTCATGTGCTTATGGGATATTTGTACATTTTCTTTGGAGAAATGTCTGTTTATACCCTTCACCCATGTTTTAAATTGGGCTGTCTTTTTGTTGAATTGTAAGAGGGTTCACTATATATTCTGGATCCTAGTTTGCCGAGACCAGCTCGGTCAGGGAGACCCTAACCCAGTGGCGCTAGAGGAATTAAAGACACACAGGAATAGCAGAGGTGTGAAGTGGGAAATCAGAGATCTCACAGTCTTCAGAGCTGAGAGCCTTGAACAGAGTTTTACCCACGTATTTATTAACAGCAAGCCAGTCATTGGCATTGTTTCTATAGATATTAAACTAACTAAAAGTATCCTTTATGGGAAACGAAGGGATGGGCCGAATTAAAAGAATATGTTGGGCTAGTTAACTGCAGCAGGAGCATGTCCTTAAGGCACAGATCACTCATGCTATTGTTTGCGGCTTAAGAACGCTTTTAAGCGGTTTTCCGCCCTGGGCGGGCCAGGTGTTCCTTGCCCTTATTCCCGTAAACCCACAGCCTTCCAGCGTGGGTATTATGGCCATCATGAACGTGTCACAGTGCTGCAGAGCTTTTGTTTATGGTCAGTTTGGGGTTCCGGTTTATGGCCAGATTTTGGGGGGCTTGTTCCCAACATGTTCCCCTTCTTTGATTTGCAAAGTGATCAAAGCAAAGGCAGCTTTGTCGCGGTGAGCTGCTTCTTGGAGGGGTCAGGATCCACATCTGCAGACTCTACAAAGACAAACAACACAGATTAAAAGCACAATCATCATTGAAATTACAGAGCTTCCAAGTGTTTTTATCCATTTTAATGGGTTCCTAGCTGCTAATCTGTCTGCAGCTCCTTTGAGCACTCCAGTTCCTGGCATTAAGGTCAGGTGTGCCTGGGATCCTTCAAATATTTGTTCTTTTAATTTTGCTATATCCAAAAACAAGTTTGTAGAGTGTCCTTCTAGATGCTTTTTTATTCTTTCCCAAATTTTGATCTTATTAAGAGCTATTAATAGTTTCCACAGATCCTTAATGTTTAGTTCCTACAGTGGACCATATCATTTGAGGTTGAGGTGCCACTATACTGCCATGGTTTCAGATAATAGGAACTCTCACCGTACTTATTATTATATCTACCATCTGACCATTTCGTTCAGATCAGCTGAACATAGTGTGGCCGTGGCACGCAGACCGAGAGGTGTAATTTAAGCTAAACATCTCCTTAGGGGATCAATTAATAATGATTCCATAGGAATCGTGCAGCACCTCTGCCTGTTCTGCAATGCAATCTTCCTAAACAAGTACGTTCATTATTTCTGGCCAGGTTCAATTTTGTATACAAATGGGTTTTTGAGGGCGGTATGCCTCAAATATAGGAGCAGATTTATTATGGTAAATACTGAGACCAGAAAGCATGTGTAACTGTGTCATAGAGTGATTACATCCAAGCATTACTGCCAGCTAAGATTGATAAATATGCCCAATAAGTATAATTGTTCTCTGTGGCAGCCCTTGTTGAAGGAATCCTCACAGCAGTGGTGATCATCGCTGTCATAGCTACCATTAAATGACTCATTGTGACTGGCTGTCCCGCTTTCCTCAGGTTTTCTTCCGCCATCTGTGACAGCTTCTGGTTCTGTCCCCAGATGGGTGGCTGTGTTTGACGGGTGTTGCTTGTGACAGTTGGGGTCCTCCTCAGCGTCAGTCTCCACATGGCTGCAACTGAGGGGTCCTTGGGATCTTCCCGGAATCTGACTTATGATAAGATTTCAGGTGTCTTGATGGTATCCAAATTGGCTGTTGATTTTGGCCTGGAGAAACACAAGCATAACTTCTACCCCAAGTTATTATTTTACCTATTTCCCAACTTTTTGTTACCGGATCTCTCCACCAAATCAGTTGTTCTGCTTCTGTCTTTGCAGCTGGTTTGTGCAGATGCTGTTCAGCTGCTGATAACATCTGACATTTGGGCAGGCTCAAAAAATTTAAAGTTAATAATGATAGATTCAGTTGCATCTATGGGGTTCCATATTCTCTATTTACACCTTTCTGCTTTTGCAACTGCGTTTTAGGGAAAGATTCATTCGTTCCACTATGGCTTGTCCTTGAGAATTGTATGGGATACCAGCAATGTGTTTAATATTCCACATAGAGAAAAATGTAGCTGGAGCTTCTTGGCTAGTATAACCTGGGGCATTATCTGTTTTAATAGAAGCTGGAATGCCCATCACTGCAAAACACTGCAAAAGGTGACATTTAACACAGGCGGAAGACTCTCCTGATTGGCATGTGGCCCAGACAAAGTAAGAAAAGGTGTCCACACATACATGTACGTAAGCTAGTCTCCCAGACGAGGGAACATGGGTGACATCCATTTGCCAAAGAGAATTAGGTTCCAATCCTCGAGGATTAACGCCTGTAAAAGATGAGGAATGTACCATTTGGCAAGTTGGGCATCACTGGATAATAGCTTTAGCTTCTTTCCAGGTAATGCTGTATCTGCGTTTGAGACCAGAGGCGTTAACATGGGTTAAATTGTGAAAGTGTCTAGCATCAGACATTGCATTAGCAGCTAGGCGATCAGCCATTTGATTCCCTTCAGTCAAAGGTCCTGGAAGAGGTGTATGAGCCCTAATGTGAGTGATACAAAAAGGGTACATTCTACTTGTAACTGCTGTTTGCATTGGGTAAATAAAGTCATCAGTTGTTCATCTGTATGAAATCGTAACTGAGCATTTTCAATTAACTGTGTGGAATGAACCACGTATGAAGAATCAGAAATCACATTAATAGGCATATCAAAAGCAGTCAATACCTCAATTACAGCTACAAGCTCTGCGTTTTGAGCTGAAGTATAGGGTGTCTGGAAAACCTTACCTTTTGATCCAGAATAAGAAGCTTTACCATTACTAGACCCATCTGTAAAACAATGAAAATGCTTAGCAGGCTGCAGGTTGTTTACTGCAGGAACTGTAAATGTAAACCGTTTAGAGTCCTGCTCAGCTAAAGGGATAGTAAAGAAACAGTCTTTTAAATCTATGACTATTAAAGGCCAATTTTTTGGAGTTATAGCAGGAGAAGGCAATTCTGGCTGTAATGCCCCCATAGGTTGTATAACTGAATTGATGGGTCTTAAAACATTCTCCATTTACCTGATTTTTTCTTTCTTTTTATTTTTATTTTTTGAGACGGAGTCTCGCACTGTCACCCAGGCTGGAGTGCAGTGGTGGGATCTTGGCTCACTGCAAGCTCTGCTTCCGGGTTCACGCCATTCTCC